GCAGCCCGATTCGTAACCACTACGCTACCAGAGCTCCTTAAAAATGATACTAGAGATTGCAAAATAGAATTTTGTAAGACCAACAACTTATTTATTGCAAATACCTTTCTTAAACAACATAAAAGGCGATTATGGACCTCACCAGATAGAATACACAGGAATCCTATTAACTACATCTGTGGGAAAAGATGTTGGAAAAGCTCAATAGCATCAGTCAAAACAAGCCCAATCTGTGACCATCAGTTGCTCATATGCAAGTTCAGAGTGAAGTTGAAGAAAATTATAACAAGTTCCTGAGAGCCAAAATATGATCTTGAATATATCCCACCTGAATTTAGATAACATCTCAAAAGCAGATTTGATGTGTTAAGACACTAATAACCAAAGACCAGAAGAGTTATGGAATGACATCAAGAACATTATACAGGAAAAAAGCAGAAGGACATTAAAAAGACAGGAAAGAAAGGAAAGGCCAAAGTGAATGTCAGAAGAGACTCTGCAACTTGCTCTCCAGCATAGGGGAAGCTTAAGCAAATGGAAGAAATGTGGACATAAAAGGGCTAAAAATAAAATTTCAAAAGGCAGGTAGAGAAGAAAAGTAAATTATTATAAAGAAATGTAGAAAACCAAAAGGGAAGAACACACTCAGCATTTCTCAAGAAGGAAAAATTCAGGCCTTGACGTCAAATATTGAAGGATTCTATGGTCAAAATATTGAATGATGCAGAAGGCATCAAAAGAAGATGGGAGAGATGCACAAAGTCAACTGTACCAAAAAGAAACGGTCAATGTTCAACCATTTCAAGAGGTAGCACATGATCCAGGAAACAATGGCACAAAAGGAAGAAGTTCAAGCTATATTGAACTGGTGGAATACAAATGGAATCTTTAAACAAAATGACGCAGCACTGAAGGTGCTCACTCATCTGTGCCACCAAATTTGAAAGACAGCTACCTGGCCCACCAGCCTACTGATTGGAAGAGATCCATGTTATTGTTAAGTGCTGTTGAGTCGGTTCTGGCTCATAGCGACCCTGTATAGGGTTTCTAAGGAGCCGCTAGTAGATTTGAACCACCAACCTTTTGGATAACAGTTCAGTGCTTATCCTAAAGTGCCACACCATATTTTTGCCTTTTCCAAAGAAAGGTTACCCAAAAGAAAAGAATGTGGAAATTATCAAACAATATCATTATCACATACAAGTAAAATTTTAGTGAAGATAATTATAAAACGGTTGCAACAGTATGTCAACAGAGAACTGCCAGAAATGCAAGCCAGATTCAAAGGAGGGCATGTAGCTAGGGATGCAACTGCTGATGTCAGATGGATCTTGACTAAAAGCAGAGAATACCAGAAAGATGTTAGACTTGTGCTTTATTGATTGTATGAAGGGTTTTCACTGTGTGTATCACGACAAGCTTAACACTGAGAAGAATGGGTATTCCAGAACACTTAATTGTGCTCACGAGAAACCAGTACACAGACCACGAAGCATTTGTTAGAACATAATAAGGAGATAATGAATGGTTTAAAATCAGGAAAGGCATGTGCCAGGGTTGTGTCCTTTTACCATAGTTATTCAATCTATATGTTGAGCAAATAATCCAAGAAGCTGGGTTACATGGAAAAAGAATATGGCATCAGAATTGAAGCAACAATCATTAACACCTTACAATATGCAAATGATGCAACCTTGCTGCTGAAAGCAGAGATTTAAAATACTTAGTGAAAAAGATCAAAGACTATAGTCTTCAATATGGATTGCTTCTCAATGTAAATAAAGCAAATCCTTACCACTGGGCCAATAAATAACATCATGATAAATGGAGAAAAGATTGAAGTTGTCAAAGACTTCATTTTGCTTGTATCCACAGTCAACACTCATGGAAGCAGCAGTCAAGAAATCAAAGGACATATTGCATTAGGCAAATCTGGTGCACAAATGTCTTTAAAGTGTTGAAGAGCAAAGATGTCAGTTTGAGAACTAAGGTGTCCCTGCCCTAAGCCATGATTTTCACTAGTCTCATATGTATGTGAAAGTTGAACAGTGAGTAAGGAACACTGTAGAAGAATTGATGTATTTAAGTTATGGTGTTGGAGAAGAATATTAATAGTACCAGGGACTTCCAAAAAAAAAGAACAAATCTGTGTTAGAAGAAGTGCAGTCAGAATGTTCCTTAGAAGCCAGTGTAGTAATACTTCATCTATCATACTTCAGACACATTATCAGGAAGGACCAATCCCTAGAGAAAAGGACATCATGTTTGGCAAAGTGTATGGTAAGCATAAAAGGAAAAGGTCCCCAGTGAGATGGATTAACATAGTGGCAGCAGCAATGGGCTCAAATGTAAGAACAGTGTGAGGATTTGTTTTGTTCTGTTGTGCATAGGGTCGCTATGAGTCGAAACCTACTTGACAGTCCCTAACAACAACAGTAGTAGGAAAGATAGAATGAAGAGTACAGGGGAATCGTTATATATAGGTATTTGGAAAGGTTTTAATTATCTGAATTATTTTTATGCTGTGTACTGTGCAAGAATATAATTATTCTTCATTAGAATCATCCTCTTAGTATTTGGCACATGTGACTTTTCCTACTAAGTTAATAATAATGCTGGTATGTAGATAGCATTCCTTTGCTTTTATATTTCCTTTATCTTATCATATTACCTATGTTTGCTTTGATTTTTTTTTCAAGGATTTGCAAGTTATCAAATATATTTCACATAGAATAGTGGTGCTTTTTTTTTTTTTTTTTCCTTAAATGTTTTATTGTGAATTATGTGATAGTTTACAGGGGAGAACACTAGTTTTACATTCTAGAATAGTGGTGCTTTTAAATGTTAAATCAAATTAGATTTATTTCTGCAATTTTACAACATGGATAACAATTCAATATGTAAATAACTGATGGCTTCCGTGCTTATATGTCAAACCATATCCCTATGTTGTTTGTTTTGTATGGCCTGAAAGTTTAGTGTTTACTGGTATATCTTTCCAGGATTTTATTTTGTTTGCCTTCTGTTTTGTTTTACTTTATTTTTAATTTTTCTTGTGTCTTAGGTGAAAGTTTACACAGCAAATTAGTTTCCCATTCAGTAGTTTTTACATGAAGTGTTCAGTGGCATTGGTTGCATTCCCACAAATTGTCAGCATTCTCCCCACTTCTACCCTGGGTTCCCCATTTCCTTTTTATTTTTTTCAGTTTTTCTACCCCTTCCTGCTTCTCATTTTGCTTTTGGGTAAATGTTGTCCTTTTATCTTACATAATTGATGGTTTCTAAGAACATGTTCCTCTTGGGTGTTCTTGTTTATTTTATGAGGGTTTGTCTATTATTTGGAGGACTGGTGGTACAGTGGGTTAAGCATTGGGTTGCTAACTGAAAGGTTAGAGGTTCGAACCCACTAGCCACTCTATGGAGAAAGATGAGGCAGCCTCTGAAACAATATGGAAAAATTCCCTTCTGTCCTATAGGGTTCCAGGACATTTTTGTTCATTCTTCTGTATATTCAGTATTTTTTGCCAACACCATAATTTAAAGACATCATTTCTTCTCCATTCTTTGTCCAGCTTTCACATGCATATGAAGTAATTGGAAATACCATGGCTTTGGTTAGGTGTACCTTAATCCTCAAAGTGACATTTTTATCCTTTAATACTTTAAAGAGATCTTTTGCAGCAGATTTGCCCAATGCAGTACATTGTTGAATTTCTTGACTGCTGCTTCTATGGGCATTGATTGTGGTTCCAAGTATAATTAAGTCCTAGACAACTTTGATCTTTCCTCCATTTACTATGATGTTGTATAGTGGCCTACTTGTAAGGATTTTTGTTTTATTTAGAAGTGTAATCTATACTGAAGGTTGTAGTCTTTCATCTTCTTCAGTTAAGTTCTTCAAGTTGTCTTCCTTTTCTGTGTTTAAATGATTTCAGTGCTCATTTCTAGTCCTTTGGAACACTGTTTCATTCTGGAATGATTGTCTGGAATGTATTTCCAACCAAATCAATTTTCATTTTATTGGTGGTTGGCTAGAGAGACACTCTACATGAATACTTTATTTCCTGAATCGTCATATATATGAAAATCTTTTATTTGTCTTTTGTCATGGTAAATTTTACGTGGTATGTAGATCTGTTGATGAAAACAAGAAACAGAGGTGTCCTGGCACTTGTAACCAGTCCATGTTATTTTCTTATTGAACATAAGCAGTCTCACAAAATACCAACCTCAGACAAGGTTTCTCTGAGACCATGATAAAGACAAAACAAAACCTCCTCATAATTTCACCTTAGCATAGACAAAAGCAAGTTCACTGTGCCACTCTCTCTCAATTCAGTTGAGTTGCTGCTTTATCAATTACAGTTTTAGCAGTCTTGCACAAGCTCTCACTATCTATGATTTATTGAGAATATCCACTTGTAGAATTATCTCTGCTTTCTGAGAGTACCCTCTGTAGTAATTCCCTGCTTCCTTAGTCCTCCTCTCAAATCACCCAAACAAACCCAAATGAATTATCAGTTGACACTCTTAACTTGTACATGGGAGACATTCCTTGGTTCCCTAGCATGTATTATCTCCCTGCTATAATGAGTAATAAACCCAGCTTGGTTCAACTGTAGTTGAAGGGTAGTGCAGTTTACTTAAACCTTTTTTTCCCTTTGTATAGATTTCGTTGGAACAAAATTGACATCTCATTTTGTTAAGAGGGTAGTTGATGGCTAGAAGGTTTTTTTCTTCCTTTGTATGGTATATTTGTTTTCTTCCTGATTGCTTTTAAAAGTATTTATTTGATCTTGAAAGTTAAAAAAATGTTTACCAGATGTTTCCTTTTATTAATTTTTGTACGGTTCTTGGTGACCCCTATTCATTTTCAAATTGAGGTATTTCTTTAATATACCAAAGTTTTTTCTATAACATCTTTGGTGTGGTTTCTGTTCTCTCTTTTCTAAGGACATCAATTTAATAATAGGTGTAGCTCTGGTGCCTGTGCCTCACATGTATCTTTCATTGTTCTCATCACTTTGTCTTTTGTTTATTTAGAAAGTTTTCAGTCTTATTTTCAAAGTCGTTAATTTCTGTAGTGTAAACTCATTTATCTCCTGCTGCCTCTTCTAATTTAAAGTTTTCTGTGCTATTTTTCTTTCCTTATTTTATACTTATTTTTGATGTCTCATGAGGGTTCTTCAAGAAGTTTGTGAGGAAATGAAGTTAAAAGATAATGATGGAACAATGTACACTTGTCTGTGGATATTCATCAGCTACATGCTCAAATTTCTGATATAAGTAATTCTCAAGTTGAGAACTGAGTGGCTACTAATTTGCTACCTCGGCCAGAGATTAAGTTTCCCTGTGAACTTGGTTGAACCTCAGCATAGTGATCCTGATTGGTCGTCTTAGAGCAGGTGGTGGTCTGGCAACATCTTGCGTGTGGGGTCCCCAGCTGGTCTCCTTTCTCCCTGCCTTCTTCGGATGGCGGCTGTTTATGCTGGACGTGTGGCCAGAGACGGGCAAGGATCACGTGGAACCTCGGCAACCTAAGACAGAGCCATTGCCATGCTGCAATGAGTTTTGATGACGGGTTAAGACTGAGGAATTCACACTGACCGCCTAAGACAGGCAGCGTCCCTTAAACAAATAATAGATAAGGGGGAATCTGATGCAGACTGTGCAGACCTGGTCAGGAGTTCAAGTCCCTGTGGGCCCAAGCGTTGCTGACCGTCCAAAACATAGGCTCTGAGAATCAGACTTTAGCCACCTAGCAGACATAGCAAAATGTCCCTTATCTGATTATTCAGTTATGCTGGTTAGTAATTCCATACATGAGCCCTGGATACCCACAGACAAATGTAAAAACCTTCCCTAAAAGCCGAGACTGTAAATTCCAAAAAGGCAAAGTTTTTCCCAAAAAAAAAAAAAAAGCTAAAGAGGATAGAGAGAAACTGTTAACTGTTGGTATGTGGAGGGGATTATAATCAATGTAATGAAACAAGGTATATGAATGTTTGAATGTGAAACCGATGATGTTTGAATGTGAAACCCTGAAAACTTTCACTCAATCCACAATAAAAACCTTAAAAAAAAAAAAAAGATAATGAAAAATTTCCACGAACTTTTTGAAGCCCCCTTACGTTTGTTCATTGATAGAATTTTTATGATTTAATTTATTTTGTGCAAATAGCCGTCCAAAATTCTTTCTTAGAGAAAACCGTTTTCAGAAGTTTGCTTCTTCCGCTGCTGCATATTTTGTTGCCTCCTTTCAGGGCGACAAACTATCAGTGGTTCCTTTCTTTTTATGTCTTTGTTCTGTTTACTGAAGTTTCTTTTATAGCTGGGAGTATTCTGCTCCATGAAGCTTGCTTTTTATTTTGCCTTCACAAATATTTGCTCTTTTTTTCATTTTTACAGAAAAAGGTCCTTTTAGGTAGATCAAGTAGTGAAAGGTTTACTTATTGTATACAAAAATACCATTTAATGAATGACCTGTTTGAATTCATAGAGCGTTTATGTTTGCCATTCCAGATAAAGAGCAAAGCACAATAAGGACTGAAACCCCCCCCCCCCATTTTTAAATAAAAGTCAGTGAGGCGACCTTTCTTATTTTCCCAGCTCTGAGCTCCTGCAGGGTTGCTGTTGGTACTCTTGTGCATTGTAGTGTGTGAACATTCGTTATAAAGCCATTTTTATTACATTGAAATGTTGGAATGTTTAAGAAAAACAAAGATATAATTGTAGATGTGTATAGCACTGTAAATGAAGATCTTTAACTGACCTGTTTCCTTGGTCAGTGCTGGGGTGGTGGCGATAGATAGCAAGCACTGTGTCACTATCCAGCTTGTTGCCTGGCACTCAGTAGACAGTATATGCGGATATCCCCCGCTTCTCAAAAGTTCACTTTATGCTGGTTTGCTTTTATGAAAGATGTTTATTAGTAACTGTTTTTGCTAACTGAAAGAAATCCAAAGAGGATTTTTACTTTTACAAAAGTAAAAGGGTGTAAAGCAAGCATAGCGCTCAGCCCTTCTCTAGACGTGGCTATTCCAAGCTAGTGAGAGTGGTGTAGCCAAGCGGCTTTACCAGGAACTGCACTCAGCATCAAGTCCCACTATATGGTAGTGTTATTTTAGGGTTTATGTGTTGTGTGGTATGTGTGGTATGATTTGGTAAGTGATGTTTTGGGGCCTGGGAGCACTCAAAAAAATTTCCCAAGAAAAATGTTAATTGATTCTTCATTTCATGCTGTTAACAAAAGATTTCATAGGAGCACCCTACTTTTGGAAAGTGGGAGGGACCTGTGTTTAAATGAGTGAAAGAGTAAGTGAGTGACAGATGGTAGAAAGAGAGAAATGGCTGTTACTTCATGAAGTAACTGGTTAGGTTAATTCAGTGATATTCTTATTTCACATTCTTTTCTTAAGGCTACTGATGCCCGGAGGGCTTTCCCTTGCTGGGATGAACCTGCCATCAAAGCAACTTTTGATATTTCACTGGTTGTTCCTAAAGACAGAGTAGCTTTATCAAACATGGTATGTATATGTTTGTAAGTATATTTAAAATTTTAATAAGCTTTTAGCATTTTTTTATTTACTCACTAAATGGAATAACATTAAACCACCTAGAACAGTGTTTGGTACATAATGAGAACATAAATGTTACTTTATTTCTATCCAATAAGCCCTGTTTTACTTTTTTCTTAATTGCCTTATTTGATAGTATTATTTGCTTCTTTTAATTTGCAAATCTAAGTGATGAGTTTAATAAAATATCACCTGAAAGAAAAAAGTCTTTAATTTTTTTACTAAATGCCCAAAGAAAATGAAGTGTATTTAAGTTGTTGATTAGTTGTGTTCTTAGAATGTGATCTTTCTACCCATGTTATTGATCTCATATGTAAATAGAGTAAGCATTCATTACTAGAAATGTCTAGGATTTCCTGGTGTGATTCTGTAGGATTAGCACTGGACTGCTAACCACAAAGTCAGCAGTTCAAACCCACTAGCTACTCCTTGGAAACCCAAAACAGGGTTGCTATGAGTCAGAACCAACTCGATGACACTTAACAACAATAATGACAACCTTGTTTAAGAGATAGAATAGTCAGTAGCCTATAGTAACATGATTCAAGAAAACTTGGAAAAGTCTTCTATACCCCAAAATAACTGATGTTTGCCTTCCTTTATGAGTAGAGAGTGTTCTGTGGATAAAATGCCGTTCTTGTCTCAAATATTCTTGGGAGGAGTCCAATGTATTAAACTGGAATATTAATTTATACTTCAGAATGAATGACTTTATCAAGTCTGTTCTTGAACAAGTCTTCCTTGGAAGATAGACTAGAACTTGAGGAAACTAAGAAGCTGAGTGGGGGACAGAAGGAGAACATCAAAGGGAAATTAGGAATTCTGAAGGTAAATTGTAGTCTTGGGTGGTGCAAATGGTTCATGTGCTCCACTGTTTACTGAAAGGTTAGGGGTTGGAGTCTACTCAGAAGTGCCTTGGGAAAAAGGCCTGGCAATCTACTTCTAAAAAATCAGTCACTGAAAACCCTATGAAGGACAGTTCTGCGCTGACACACATGGGGTTTACATGAGTCAGCATGAACTTGAAGATTTGAAATGGCAGCTTCCACAGTTATGTTTTATTTTGATGAATAATTGTCTCCTATTTTTTTTCACTTGAAAAGTATTGAGGTCTTACACAAGGCAACCTAATACCTGGCATGTCATTTGCATTAAAGAAAAGTTGATTCCTTTTAAGTTCCTGGTAAATTTAACACTTTAGCCAACAACTCTTTATAATGTGAGTACTTTATCAGATCACTTTCCTTCTAAAAAGATGTGTACAGCATAAAAGCATTAGATGAATTGGGTAGAGAAGGAAGCGAAGGAGAAGCAACAAAGCCTGCAGTGTTTAGTGTTTTTTACTTTAAGGTAAATCTGTTTAATTTTTATCCCCCCTTTTTCCTTTTAAGAATGTAATTGACCGGAAACCATATCCTGATGATGAAAATTTAGTGGAAGTGAAGTTTGCCCGAACACCTGTCATGTCTACATATCTGGTGGCATTTGTTGTGGGTGAATATGACTTTGTAGAAACAAGGTCAAAAGATGGTGTCTGTGTCCGTGTTTACACCCCTGTTGGCAAAGCAGAGCAAGGAAAATTTGCGTTAGAGGTAAATGTACTTGAAGAGGATTGTTCCAACAGTCCATAACTCCAGGTTGGGGAATTTACATTTCTGATCAATTATTAGTACAGTTATTTACAATTTAATCTAAAATGTGTTGTGTTTCTTAGGTTTTATTTTTAGTTGAATTCTGGGAATACAAACCTTGGCATTGCAGTAACATTTTATAAGATAATGATTAAAAGAATATGAGTAGAGTTTATTCATCCAGGCAGAGGGTGGGCAAAGATGTAATTATATTCTTCATACCAAGTTAGAAATGGAGGAAAGTTGGGCCAATATATACAAAGCCTGGGGCTAAGGCAGTCTTTGGAGATAGACTCCTGAGGATTGGTTCTAGTAATTTGAGATTCTTTGGCCTGCAACAGGATTCCTTTGTGGATTTCTGTATGGATTACAATAAAATACTTATTAGATGGTACTTTTGTTTATACTTTTATAGGTCGCTGCTAAAACCCTGCCTTTTTATAAGGACTACTTCAATGTTCCTTATCCTCTACCTAAAATTGATCTCATTGCTATTGCAGACTTTGCAGCTGGTAAAGTAAATTTCATTTTATTGCTGAATTGTAATGGCTTTTCTTAAATTTTGTGATTTTGAGAAATATGTGTGTATATATATATATGTATTTATCATCAAATATTTGTATTTATTTTATGAAGGTGCCATGGAGAACTGGGGCCTTGTTACTTACAGGTATGTTCATGATGCTTTACCCTGTCTTTTCTTTTCATTCACTAATTTCATAAGGGCTTCACTCCTGACTCAGCCGAGTAGCTTCTGCTTTATATCTGTTGTAAATTTTCCTTTCTGTGCACATTTCAGGAATGCAGATGGACCCCCCTCTGAGGGTGTAAGATTTTAAAATGAGCATCTGGCTTCAGTAACATTTTTAGATATATTCTTGGCTGAGTATCTCATTTCGGTGCCTTCCCTTCCTTCCAGTAGTTTCATAGCTATTTATCCAGCTTGAAAAACCCTCCCTAATTTCATATACTCTAGCCAAGTTTTTACATGTCCATCACCACAGTATAAACATGTGGGTTGTATAATTTTTAAAGCCGGGTCTAAGCAAGTTTTTGCAGTCTACTTTCAATTACCTTCTTAGATGAGCTATGTTTTGTACAGCCTGCTCGGTGTCCTTTTTGGAACTATGGAATGCATCTCTCCCCATTTCCACTTCCCCACTCGCCTTTGTTGGTGAAAGGACTATCTTCTCTCTCTAGCACAATAAATTCTAATCCCTGTGACACCATTTTTCTAAAAATTCAGGCAGCTATCCTATCAATAAACTGATCATTATTATTGCGTCACATCTTTGAACTTTTGTTGTATGAATATTGTTAGGGTATTCTTTAATCTTCTGGAACTTTTTCTATCCTGGATATACTCTGAGGAAGCACTTTCTTGACGTCTCTAAAGCCTAATGTCACTATCTCATAAAACACTATCATGTTTTGAGTCTCTCCCATTGTACATGCCAGTTTTTCACTACAGTACTTTTATTACTTTTTTGTTGTTTTTTTATTAAACACAGGGAGACTGCATTGCTTATTGATCCAAAAAACTCCTGTTCTTCATCACGCCAGTGGGTTGCTCTGGTTGTGGGACATGAACTCGCCCATCAATGGTTTGGAAATCTTGTTACTATGGTATTTAATATTTTTAAGTGCTCAAATATATTTATCTACATCCTGCAGCACATTATTTTGGCTACATAATATTACAGGTTTGGCTGGAACGTTGTGCCAAAAAAATATTTGGGTAATAAGAAAAGATTATTTTTAAATGTCCACTTTGAAAAGTGTTTATCAGAATTTCTCTGTTGATCCAGAGCATGTAGACAATCTTCATTCCACAGAAAACACTTCTTAAACAGAATTCTAGAATTTGCCTTCCCATGAGGAAAAGTCAGAGTACAGGCTGTATGTAGTTTCTCAATTCTAATGTACTATGTAATTCACTAGCTGAAAAGTAACCTACTAAATAATAAACTGATCTTTGATTAGGTCAGAATGTTCTTAGGGGTTAGTTTTTCATTGCCTAAATATTATATTGAAATTGTTAAGTGCCATCGAATCAGTTCCAATTCATAGCAACCCTGTGTAGAGTTTCCAAGGAGCGGCTGGTGAGTTTGAACTGACCTGCAGTCTAGTGCATTATCCTTCAATGCCAGACCAAGACTCCATATTGAAATGTGTTGTTGTTGTTGTTGTTAACTGCCATCGAGTCAGTTCCAACTCATAGCAACGCTGTTTAGTATTTCTGAGGAGCAGTTTGTGAGCTTGAACAGCCGACCTTGCAGCTCAAACAGACCTTGCAATCCAGCACATTAACCCACAGTGCCACACCAGGACTCCATACTGAAATTAGATAGACATGAAAGCAAAGAGGAGTCCAGGAGGCTCTCCAGGATAATGCACTGGACCAGAAGGTCAGTTTGAACTGAAAGGGTGGTGCTTCAAACCCACTAGCTGCTCCTTGGAAACCCTAGACTGGGTCATTACGAGTCAGAACCAACCCGAGGGCACTTAACAACAACAAGAAACTGCAGGTGTGCATTCCAGCTATACCACTGCAACCTGTATTTATTAAAATGTTTGCAGTGAACGATCTCTGCCCCTTTACTCTTGATCTTTCACTCTTAATTCTAAACATATAATATCTGTGGAAGCCTACAGGGCTAGAACTTGAGAACACAGGACTTAATAAACTAAAAGAATTGGAGATTTTGGAGCCAAATGCTACTAGTTAAATATATTGCATAAAGCACTTAGACTGATGTCAGGCAGCATTTTAGGTTGCCACAGAACAGAGCCCAACTTGGATATTGGTTAAATCGACGCATCCCGGAAATAAACAATAAAGTAAGACTTTTAACAGTGTCTGAGAGAATTTCTAAATTCAACCCTTGAAATGAAACCTTTTCCTTTTGCTTTGGGTGTTTAGGACTGCGAAAGTGGTGCCTTTCAACTAACATATCAAGTTTGCTGCTTCCTGTCAAACACAGTATTTTTGTTCAGCAGAGCAAAACTTGATTTTTATGATATTATTTGAAACCACAAGCAACACGTTTTAGTAGGGGAAATGTGTATCGTCATATTGCTTTAAAACAACTTTCTACTGGATTTGGGTAACTATAATAATTACTAAGGAGTGCTGGTGGTGCAGCATTTAAGCGGCTGGCTGCTAGCCCACCCAGTAGCTCCCCAGGAGAAAGACGTGGAAAGATAACAGCCTTGAAAATCCTGTGGGACCACCTGTGCTGTTCATGGGATCACTCTGAGTAAAAAATGGACTCGATGGCACCCAACAGCAATGACATTCTAGCTACTAGTGGCCAATTGTGTTAACAAACTGAAGTACTGAGGACTTTTATAGGGTGTTTATTAGTTTTGTACCGGCTTATCTTTCTGGATGCTACTAGTTAAATATATTGCATAAAGCATTTAGACTGATGGTCACATGTCACTTAATTGATCTTTGCAGAATTTCCAAAAGCCCTTTTGTTTTTACCATTACATTAGTCCTTTGGCATCTGCTTTGCATTTATGTATTGCTTTCTTTTCATAAGAGATTTAATTAACTTTAGTGAAAATTAGATTAAGATCTCTCTTTTTTTAAGTTGCTTTTATCTGTGACCCAGTGTATTCTTTACCCAATCCCCTCTACTCTAAATTCTTATTAATAAGTGAGAATTTTAGTATTCCATAAATGTATAAGCACCATTTACTCCTAAACTACTTATTTCCAGAACTTTTCTATTAATTTCACATGATCCTTAATGTCAGCACTGCAACCTTTTTATTTATCTTAAAACTTGGATCTGTCAATCAACTCTGGCTTTTCCCAGTCATTATGGAAATAGTGTCCACTTTTCCCTAAGTCTCCAACGTTTTCTTAAAGGGAAATTCTTAACTAAACTAAATTTTGTATGATGGTATTTGTTATTTCAGCTCTGATCTACTTTTATTCCTCATTTCCCCTCTTCCACATACAGGTTTGTTTTTGAAATAAAAAATTACACTTAGCAGTGTTGTGTTTTTGAAATAAAAATTACACTTAGCAGTGTTCTGTTACTGTCCCTCAGATTTAAGGCTCATACTATTAGTGGTCCTGTCTTGGCATCTTTTAGGCTTCTCTGTCTTCAGAGATTTGAGTTACTGACTAAATGCTTTCAATTGGATTTTAGCTCACTAATAGTTAGGTTTGAATATAGTAAAAGCCGTGTGTTTTTCAAACTAATAGAACGACAAGCATTTAGATATATATTTTTTCTTTTTCTTTTTTAAGGAATGGTGGACTCATCTTTGGTTAAATGAAGGCTTTGCTTCCTGGATTGAGTATCTGTGTGTAGACCACTGCTTTCCAGAGTATGATATTTGGACTCAGTTTGTTTCTGCTGATTACACCCGTGCCCAGGAGCTTGATGCCTTAGATAACAGCCATCCTATTGAAGTGAGCAGCCATACTTTCCAACCACAGTTCATTGCCCTCATTGTCAATGAAATAAATCATTTATTAGAGAGTTACTTAAGACTCGAAAAAAAGGGAAGATTGCCTGGGTGATTTCACTTTACTTGTTTTTATATTTTGTACTTTCAGTCTTGAAAATATAACAGTAGTAAGTTCTAATTAATGTTTCTTTTTAAGGTGTTGATGTTGTTAGTACCGTCATGTCGGTTTCAGCTCATAGAGAACCCAGTATAGGGTATCTGAGGAGCACCTGGTGTCTTTGAACTGCCAACCTTGTGGCTATCAATCCAGTGCTTATCGTACAGCACCACACCAGAACGCCTCTTTTTAGGACAGACATAAAAATTTGGTCTTTGTAGAGGCTGTTGCTATGTACCTATAAGCATTCATTCATTAGGTGCTTTTTTGTTGAGTGGTACAAGTGGAGAATCATACTTGTGATTCCGTCGTTTGTCTCAAGAAAGTTCTGAACATACCCTTTTATTGTTGTCATTGTTTATGTGTAAGTTTTAATTATCTTGACTTCGTTTACCTTTACTTCAGTTAGCTTATATGTATAAATTTTGCCTCTCAAGTGCTAGTTTCATAATCCTATTTGGCATATTTAACCAACGTCTTATATGATTATAAGCCAGTGTAACTAGTGCAAGAAATCATAGTGACTTTTCTCCTAGCCGAGGTGAGACAGGACTGGAACTTAGGCCTTAGGAGATGACAGGCTCATATTATGTACTCCACTTTACTAGTATTAGTTACTGCACTTTTTAAAATGTAGTAACTATGCAAAATAGTTAGTACTGAAGCATTCTGAGTGAGCTAAAGGCAGAAAAGTATCTTGTGAGTTAGAAGGGTTTTCCTAGAAAGCTTTTCATGTAATTCAGTGTTGCAGGCTGTCTGCTTCGTGTCATAACCCTGAATCACACTGTCTGCCAGGTCAGTGTGGGCCATCCTTCTGAGGTTGATGAGATATTTGATGCAATATCATATAGCAAAGGTGCATCTGTCATCCGAATGCTGCATGATTACATTGGGGATAAGGTAAGAAAGCCATTTTTTATATCTCCTGTTCTTTTTTGGTGAAAGTTGTAGAATTTTGCATACTATTTGATTCTATTTGGAATAAGATAATTTTACTGGAATCTAAGAGCGCAGTACCATGCTCTGGCTTGTCTTCCTTTCTTTTTATATTGACTGTAATGGTTTCTTAGATGAATGATGTGCAAATATATTTGAGGGTGGAGGATGGGAGACTTAACCAAAACTTAAAAGCAAGGGCATGAGGCAAAGATGCGTTCTTAAAAGGCAGTAGGCATTAGATGGAAATTTTAAGTGCATCTGACATGTTTAAGAAATTTACTTTTGAGTACTAATAAGCCAGTGTACTGTAAATTCTGAGATGTGACTCTCCTGAATTTTAAAAATTGTGTTTTCTCAGGACTTTAAGAAAGGAATGAACATGTACTTAACAAAGTTCCAACAGAAGAATGCTGCCACAGGTAATCTTTCATAGTTTAACATGGGAGTGAGATGAAGAAGGTTTTGGCACTTAATCTAGAATGAGGCATTTTCTGTTTATCCCAAATGCTTAACTTTCCATGCGATGAATAGGAAATAAAGTTGACTTATTTGAAACCATATAGTAAATCATTGGATCAACATAAGTCAGAAGCCACGATACTTTTGGTCATTCTCCAGCATTCTACTTTCCATAGTTTGCTACTTAAAGAGTATTAGAAACTTCAGTCTACTAGAGTGTGTTCTTTTTTTGGTGACTACCTACTGCCATCACATTTTTGACAATTGGCTGGTTTTATTGCCCTACACGGACCATCTAAAATAGCTAGGTTGTTGTTGTGAAGTGCCATCGAGTCAATTCCAATCAATAGCAACACTGTATAGGGTTTCCAAGGAGCACCTGGTGAGCTTGAACCACCAACCTTGCAATTCAAACGACTTTGCAGTCTGACTCATTAGCCCACACTGCTATACCAGGACTCCAAAATAACTCTAAATGAATCCTTTTCAGGAATGAACTCATGGAACTACAGTTTCAGTGTACTAGTAATATATTAACATTTTAACACATGGTAGTCAATAATTTATTGGATATCAATGCCAAAAGGAAAAATAAATGTGTTAAGAGTTACTTGATTATGGAAAAAAACCTGACTTGGAATTTCGAGTTCTCCAGTGAACAAAAAATATTTCAGAAGACGAGGTTTGTGGTAATTCATGTCTAAAAGAAGGACAGAGGTTCAAAGAGGCCTGAACATGAGCTGTTCCTGAGGTTAGTGGCCTTTGAATTAAAAATACAGCATTGCCTCTCTCTTTGGGCCAGTATATAATCTTGACTACTACCCATCTCCCCTCCCAAAAAGAATTTCCTGTTTAGTTTATAAAAGGGCAATCTATTCTGTTCTTGAAGCAGATCTAGAGAAAATGTACTTTTGCAAATTCTCAAACTCTGTATGTATATGAAGCCCTGGTGGTACAGTTGTTAAAGTGCTCAACCGTTTGTTAACCGGTGGTTTGAAACCACCAGCAGCTCCAAAGGAGAAAATGTGGCAGTCTGCTTCCATAAAGTTTATGGCCTTGGAAACCCCCTGAGGTGATTTTCCTCTGTCCAGAGGATCACTATGAGTCAAAATCAATGGGAAGGCAGTGGGTTTGTTTTCCTGTGTATGTGGAGAAGCTTATGCTTCTTAAATTGTATATTTATATAGTCATCTGGAGTGTCTTAAAATGCTTGTCATTCCATAGGTCTGGGGTGGTGCCTGAGAGTCTGCATTTCTAACAGGCTACTAGGTGAAGCCAGTACTGTTTGTTCCTGAGCTGCATTTGCAATAGCGAGGCTTAACCATTTAACATCTTTGGTTTTTTTGTGAATACAACTGCAATTTATTCATATAAGTTTTAATTACCATCATGGTCTTCATGTTCTTCCAGCAATTTCAGTGTCCCCTTGGAATTTTCTCTCTCATGCTAAGGTTAGAGTTATCTTTCTAAAAATGAATATCTAATTGTATCTATCACCTTTTGATTGAAAGGTGAGATCCACATTCCTTTCAAGATTGAGTCTGTGCTTCTTTATAAGACTCTGTATGCAAGTGTTGAACAATTCGGCCCCTGCTCACTTTCGGAGCCTCCTCTCTTACTACACCCTCCACAGGCACCCTCTATTCTTCAGCCTTATTGCTGTTTTTGATACTTTGTCCTTTCTATACTTTTGCTGTTTGTATATAGACCATTTGTTTTGTTTACTGGAATGCCCCTGTCCCCTTTTCTATCTGATAAATAACTCATCTTTAAAACGTAGGTCAAAAGTTGCCTCTTGTGACACTTTAGTTTCTTTGAAATGCTCTTTAGCTGCCTTTCTTTTATATATACCGCCATTTTCCACATGTATTATATACATTTATTTTGACATTTATTGTATTTATTGTGTTGTGTGATATTGCTGTTTTGCTTTCCTACCACCAATGATGTTTGATGATGTGAATTTCACTACTGCCTCACTGAGAATTTTTAACTTCTGTTCATTGAGTTAGTATGATCATCTTATAGTTTGTGAAAGATTCATTAGTGATGTTGACTGTGTTTCTATTTGTATTTCTTCTTGTTGGAAGTCTATTTGTCTTTTGTATTTTATAATTTTTCTTATAAATTAGCACAGTTAATAACATCTTAACCTAAAAGACCAGCTTTTATAATAGCATTACTTAATGGGGCAGTACAGACAATTCTGCCTAATGTTGCTTCCGAAACTTGAAGGAACCAAAGGACTGCTTAGCAATGGTGATGCTTCAGTGTGAAAAGTTAAATACACTTTTTCATTCATGTAGGAAAATCAGAGTCAACATTTTAGATTTTCGTCTGCTTGTCTTCTAGAGGATCTCTGGGAAAGTTTAGAAAGTGCTAGTGGTAAACCCATAGCTGCTGTGATGAATACCTGGACCAAACAAATGGGATTCCCCCTCATTTATGTGGAATCAGAACAGGTAGACTTATTTTTACATCTTTTTGTGTTTTGATATTGTATTGAATGAAATTAAATATAGTTTTATTAAATTTTCTTATCTGTACTTTGCATATTCTTGGTGACATTTAAGCCACCCCTTTTACTCTTTTCACAGTGACTTACTGTCTCTGCAGTAAATTAGTTGATCCCTACAACATTAAAATTATACATGCTATAGTTGAAAAAGATGTCCTGGTGGTACCTCACTTTAAGCATTGGGCCACTAACTAGAAGACTGGCCTTTCAAACCCATCAGTTCAAACCCACCAGCCACTCTGTGGGAGAAAGATGAGCCTATATGCTCCTATAAACATTTTTAGTCTTGGAAACCTGAAGGAGTAGTTCTGCACTGTCCTATAGGGTCTCTATGAGTCAGAACCAACTTGATGACACTTAACAACAATAACACTATAACCCCCTAAAATAAACCCACTGCCACTGAATCCATTCTGACTCATAGTGACCCTATATAGGGTTTCCAAAAAGCAACTGGTGGGTTTGAACCACTGACCTTGTAGTTAAACTGATCTTATGGTCCAACACACTATCCTGCAGTGCAACACCAGGAAAAAATATTATCTACCCAAGAGGAACTTCAAAAAGTTCATGGGCAAATTCCATTATCTTTTGATTCTGCTCTTCCATGAACTTTTTAAAGCCCCCTAATAATTCTGATGTCAACAAGTAGACTTTATTTTGGGAATGCAAAGTTGATTTGACGTTCAAAAATGATTCAGTGTATCAGAATTAACTTAATGTCAGCTGGTCTGGTTTTTGGTTTATTGACTTATAACCACTCCATTAGCAGAATAAAATAGAAAAACTCACGATTGCATCAGTAGATGCAGTGAAGGCGTTTCGTTAAATTCAGTATCATTTATAACGTAGTTTTCTGAAGTTGTGTTTTAATGTTGGTTGAGTAGCATACAAAGATAATTGATGATGATTCCTTTCACTTCTGGGGGTGTTATTCCCTCAAAAGTTTTCAACACCTCAAAACCATTAAACTTTCTAACTATTGCATGTGAAGCAGACTAACTGTTAGGCCAGTAATTTTTTTCTTCAAACAGAGCACATTTAAGAGCATAATAGTTTATCAGTTAGAACAGAGAACATTAATACCTCGCTTCCTCCCAACATTAGGAATCATTAACTTTTCTATCCAACTACTTCAAGGTTTTGTTTTCTATGTTTGCAAGCACAGCCACCTCATCCTTCATTTTTCATTACAATAAAAATGTTGCTTTAAACTTTTTACAGGAAATCTATGTGATTATGCACACTGTGTATAAGTTCCGAAGTGGTCACTTCAAGCCATTGTGGCCTCCTTCACTTAGATTTTTCTTAACATTTCAATTTTGTTTCTTATAGTTTATAACTATGAAAGTGATGGGCCCAATTTTACAATTGATTTAGGTGATCAGAAACCTGTTATATCTTTTGTTATTTTAAACTTTCTAGGGTATAACAACAAATGACAAATGAAACAAAAAACTAGATAGTATTGAAATGGTTTTTTAAAAACGTGCCATGTGTATTATTAGTTGCTTGTAGCTTTTTAGTCATTTGTAGTTTTTTATCTTTTCCTTGTTATTATGTGTATTTCACTGCAAAGGTCATCCTGTGACAGGTCTGTGCTTTCTTTCATGTTTATCAATCCTTCTGAAACTGAATTCTGAAATACTGAATCCACATACTAATCTCGTATTTCCATTTCTTGAAAGTGGAAAAGACTGCATGATATTTATAAAGATTAAAATAAAATTTGATTTATTATTTATTATTCAGTATCCCTTTGAAAACTTTTAACACCTTAGAAGTAGTGACTTCTTTCTCCTTCTGTAGTTTATCTTCACCACCATTGCCATTTGACTAAAATATTTAATGAAAGTCTTCTTTGTCACAGAAATGGTACACTCCTTCCCCCACCCCCCCACCCCCCACCCCCACAAAAAAAAGTGTTACTGCTAATATAGCCTTTATTTTGTTTTTTTAGGTAGAAGATGACAGAGTACTGAGGTTGTCCCAAAGGAAGTTCTGTGCTAGTGGCCCATATGTTGGTAAGCCAATGACTATACTTGAGAGCTGATCAATGATTAGCATTCTATAGCAATAATAGGAAATAATTATCCAATTTTTCTGTACTTTTTTTTTTTTTTTTTTAGGGAGTCTAACATTTTATTGCTTCTTACTTAGAGCAGTAATTCCCAAGGTGCCTGTTGTTGAGCCCACACATCACATCTCCTGACACAGAACCTCCTAATGTGAAGCCAAGAAAACTTCCATTTTTCATAAAAACCCCAAGTGATATACTATGCACCCAATGACTTTAGGAATGAACATATTTTCCCCAACAAAACTCTCACGTTTGCCTAGTCTAATTCATTTCTTTCCCTTTTTCGTACTTTTAATAGAATTAAATAAACACAAGGCAATGGCAGTAAATTAAGAGTACAGTCTATGAAATCAAAAGAGATGATTCGTGAGCTTTTTGTAGTGTTTTGTTATATTCTTGGACTTTTGAGATTCCTGGTCTCTGTGTGTGATTAGAGGCTGTAGGATCGAAGAAAGATACGAACACCCAAGAATTGATGTCTCCAGCCTTAATCTCAAAGAGAAGACTTGATATGTTAGTGTTGGTGGCCAATCTTTGTTCTTAATTCTTAGATGTAGTAAATAAATAAATTCATCCCAGTGATTATTTAGATTTATTATGTACCAGTCATTGTGTTAAGCATCTATAACTGGCCCTTAATTTATAGTCTCACCAACCATATAAGGTAGGTGGTGGTATTTCCATTTTACACATGACGGAGCTGAAACACAGCTAAGTTAGTTCAGTTGTCTGAGATTGCCCATCTAATGTAACTAAAGTATGAAAGTTTCACAAAAAGTGTTCTCACTTCAAGAGTTTGGGCGCTTGCCTATCACTCTACTCAGCTGTACTGAATTAGACTTTTACCTAGGAAGTTCATTAAAAAGTCATTAGACTCTTAACCCAGGAAATTAATTAAAAAGAAAAATCAAGAAGTGTTTTTCTGTACCTTTCTCACTTCCTTTAAAACAGTAGTTCTCATCCAGGAAAGTATGTGTCAGAGTTACTTTATGCCTTTTCATGTTCCACCCACCAAAATCTAATGTACTTTATTGAAGTTAGGAGGAATTAGCCTTCCACCCTTAACCTCCCTTAGCCTTTAGATTAATTTTGTAATGAATACGTGTGACAAACAAATGACAGACTTATTATTCAGATACATCCCAAGAGTTACAATTGTTGTTTCTACCTCATACCTATAATCTGCCCTGTGGGACTGACGGGTTTTACAGGTTTTACTAATGCTCTGAGACCAACATAAGTAACTTTGAAACCTAAAATGTCCAAGTATCAAGAGGAGCTTTGAATTCTGGTTTAGCCTGATAGCATTAAGCTGTCTGACTTGTAAGATAGCTCCATTAATGTACTAAACAATGACTCTCTTTTGTTTGACATCTTAATGTAAAATCTATTGCTGTCTGGCATCATAGACAGTGTATATGCCTTATATCAGCTTTGGTTTTTAGATGACTCCTTAGTATTGGAATCCAAAAGCTCTCTGGATGTATCCAGTGTGTCAGTAGGATATGTACAAATGTGGTCACCATGAGTCAGACTCTACTTGACAAGTAACTCACAGCAGTAACATATTGGAATTTTTTGTTTTTAAATACTACATGAGTATTTACGTGCATTTATTCAAAAATTATTTTAGCAGTAAAATCATTGCCATTTCTGTTTCTCTATCAAAGGAAAAGAATGATTACATTAAAATCATTACATTTGTGAGTCTATAAATGAGTGTTCTTTTTTATGATTATTGTGATTTTGTCATTAATTCTCTTCTTTGCACTAATATTAATCTGGTTGCCTGGGAGAGAGTATATATCACTTAAAATGAGCCATTGACCCAAGCAGTTAAACCCAAGCCCATGGTTAGGACAACCGGTACCCTCTCTCCACCTTGCCTTTCATTTCTTCCCATGTGAAATTCTTTTTCAAGTTTTCTGTTTGTTCTTGCTTAAGGAGAAGACTGTCCCCAGTGGATGGTTCCTATCACAGTCTCTACTAGTGAGGATCCCAGCCATGCCAAACTGAATATACTAATGGACAAACCAGAATTGAATGTAGTTTTGAAAAACGTCAAACCAGACCAGTGGGTGAAGGTGAGTCCCAGAATTAACAATCCTTTTTGTCTTATCTAAATTGATTTATTTTTTTCTTACTTCCTTTAGGCATCTTAAAATAACTGCCTCTCAATTCTGCTGCTTCGGTTAGATTCGTTTAAAATTTTTTCTAAGCTTTACTTTGTGTCAATTTCTAAATAGAATTTATATGTTGTGTAAAGGGGTGGTAGGTAAACATTAAGATGGGTAGGGTTGGTAAAAAAAGTTTTAAAGTAGTAGTCTGTATTGAAAATCTCATTAATCAAAACAATTATCACCTTGCAAGTCCAAACTTCCCTGACATTATAATGACACTATAATTTTAGTGATGTGGTGTTCTGTTTGTATAACTATAATCACATGAAATCAGACATCTAATAATCAGTTTGAATGCAAAATTCATTTAATTGATAAGTGTCTTTAAAAAAGTATCTACTCTAAACCTTTTTTATAGATTCTGAATAGAAATTACATTGTCTCAGAGTTTTGTGCTTTAATTTTTAAGATATATTTTTTAAATATGCCCAATGGGATATTTTACTGCCATTTGAATTGAGAATTGATAATCGGGGAATTGTGGCACTGGGCTACTAACCACAAGGTTTGCTGTTCAAACCCACCATTTGCTCCTTGGAAACCCCATACAAGGTCGCTATGAGTCTAAAACGACTCAACAGCAGCAACGCATAAAAATAGTAAAATATTTATATTGTATGCTATCATTTTACTATTAGAATATTTTTCATATAATACTTAAAAAAAAATTTTTTAACTCTTAGTAAATAACTTATAGAGAATAACGTTCAGTGAATCTAAAAATCTTATAAAATCGCCTTATGTCCTTGTAATTCTTTAAAATTTGTTTTTGTTAAGTGCCCTCAAGTTGGGATGAACTCATAGTGACCCTGTATAGGGTTACTGAGGAGCTACTGGTGGGTTTGTACTACCGATCTTGCTATTAGCTATTAGCAGCAATTAGCAGCCAGTGCTTATCCTACAGCACCACACCAAGAATCCTTAAAATTTAGGACCTGTCTGTCATTCTGCTGAAGTCTTGGACTCAACAGATCAACATTTGTGAAGGCTTTGTTTTTGCAGATCCCACTATCCAGGTGTTTCTCTATATACATTTGGGGGGAAAAAAAAAAAAAAGTTTAAGCTCATTGCCATGAAGTCAGGTCCAACTCATAGCAACTCTATGGCATAGACCTGCCCGATAGGGTTTCCAAGGCTGTGTTCTTTATGGAAACCAACTGCCCTATCTTTCTCCCATGAAGTCATTGGTAGATTCAACCACTGACCTTTGTGGTTGGCAGTCAAGATCTGTACTGCATCAGCAGGGCTCCTTATTTTATATCTAGTACACATTTTCTCTAAAACATAACCTCTAGGATTAGAAATCAAAATTTAGTCACTGCCATGTTCTTACTGTCCCTCACTTTGGCCCCCACTATTTCAAGTTTGGAGGCCTGGTGTGGCACTGTGGCTTAATGTGCTGAACTGCAAGGTCGGTTTGAATCACAGGGTCAGCGGTTCAAGCTCACCAGTCGCTCCTTGGAAAGCCTATACAGGGTCACTATGAGTCAGAACCAACTTGACAGCACTTAACGACGACAACACTTCAAGTCTCTGATTTCTTTTGCCTCTGTATTTGTCTTTGGCAACCCATTTTTATCTTCATGTGTTGTTTTTGTTTTAATTCCTGTCAGGTTATGGATGTCATCTTTGTAGATTTTCATCTAGATGTGTCTAAAATCAGAACTCCTTTCACACCTACAAATAGTTAATGTCTAAAAACAAATGGAACTGTTCAATAGTACCTATTGTGTATCTTTTCAGTTAAACCTAGGAACAGTTGGGTTTTATCGGACCCAGTACAGCTCGGCCATGCTGGAAAGTTTACTGCCAGGCATTCGTGACCTTTCTCTGCCCCCAGTGGATCGACTTGGACTACAGAATGACCTCTTCTCCTTGGTGAGCCCCTCTCATTCAGATTGTATGATGGATTGTTTTGGCTAAAGGATTTTGTTTTTTTCTGGAGTTTCCTGACTAAAGCTTAATTAGAGGAATATAGCTCTTCCTGGAGGTTAGCCTTTGGGAGTAGAGCAAACAACTAATTATTAATTGCCATGACAAGATGGAACCTATATAATTTACCTGAAGCAAACCTCATTTCACCATTTCTAAGTAATTTTTTGTAAGTCTTAGTTAAACTATCCTTTGTAAGGCAAAATTTCTTTTGAACAGAAATAGTATGAGCCTAAAAGAACTTTCTCTATACTGATAGATTTTGTTTGTTTTTGTTTTAAAATAACAAATTCAGAGTGATTTGTGCTTTTCTAAAATAGGAATTGTGCTTTTTTGGGAAACTCTAGAATTTCCCAAATTCCATTACTTCTCAAATTATTAAAGCCCATTAGCTTTAGAATTATGTTTATATTTAGCTGTGTTTCAAAAAGGATTTAAAGCAGCAATTAGTATTATTATCTATATGTACCCAGCATGGCTTAGGTAGTTTCTAGGTGCCTTTGACTTAAAATTATAAGATTCCTGCTAGTTTTCCTTTAAATTAGACTTCAAGTTTCCCCTCTCTTCTGTAGTAATCGGTCTTGGAGTCCTCCTTTATATAAGCACCGATTAGCCGTGATGCACAAAGTCTCCCATCTGCTGAAGGAGACCTGTCCCATAAGAATGGACTCTTGTGTGGTTGACTGCTCTAACAGAAGTTCTTTTTTCTGTTAGTTCTGAAAGGACTGAAATTGTGCCTGCCAGTTTATATTCTTTTAGGAAAGAGTAAAGGACAGGTTAAACTGGCATAGTTCATAGGTCCAGTTCCAAGTTGGCCCCCAACTATTTCTGCAACTTTTCTGAAAGTAATAAAATTTCAAACAAAACCAAGACCTCAGAAACCCAATAGAAATAGGAACTTAATTCTCATTTTTCTTAAATGCCTCCCAAATTGGTGCAATTTTTGTGTAATTTCTTTAAAGTGACTCTTTAATCAATAGCAAGAACGTACATGAGAACTCTTGTCACAGTAGGCTTTTTATTTTGACAGCATACTAGTTTGTACTTAGATAGTCTCATTTCCTCTAAACCAGAGATGACTGCTTAGCGGTAAATAATACCAAAAAATACATGCTTGTGTGTTTCTATTTTGCTTTTGTTTGAAGACTAGATTAATTTGTGTTTTTTCCTATCCCAGGCTCGAGCTGGAATCATTAGCACTGTAGAGGTTCTAAAAGTCATGGAGGCTTTTGTGAATGAGCCCAATTATACTGTATGGAGCGACCTGAGCTGTAACCTGGGGATTCTCTCAACTCTCTTGTCCCACACAGACTTCTATGAGGAAATCCAGGAGTTTGTGAAAGATGTCTTTTCACCTATAGGGGAGAGACTGGGCTGGGACCCCAAACCTGGAGAAGGTAACGGATGAACTGGAAGGTTAAAGAATTGATCAGAAATTGGCTTTTGATTTAACTCAGCGATGGTTAACAATAGCATCGTCTTTGATTGAATCTGTTGGCAGTTACTGTTGAATACTAGCCAGAAATTCCCATTAAGACATAATTAAGCCTACTTGTGAAGTTACATGGATCACCAACATTGGAATAAATAGTGATTGTTATGTGTATTTCTTGCTACGTAGGATTTGTGCACAAAGCAAATGGTAGATGTAAGTCTTTTACAGAGTTCAAAAGGTCCAGTGATAAGAACAGCTGAAGGGAATTTTGGACAGCTAAAAAGGAATTAATATATTGTCACCATATAATTACTACAACCACCACTCGTCTGTCAGTTTGTCGTACTGTGGTGGCTTGTGAGTTGCTATGATTCTGAAAGCTATGCCACCGGTATTTTAAATACCAGCAGGGTCACCCATGGTGGACAGGTTTCAGATGAGCTTCCAGACAAAGACAGACTAGGAAGAAGGAGTGACGAACTACTTCCGAATCTTTAGTCACTGAAAACCTTATGAATAGCAGAGAAACACTGTCAGAAATAAAAATGAGTCCCTCAGGTTGGAAGGCACTCAAAATACGACTGAAGAAGAGCTGCCTCCTTAAAGTAGAGTTGACCATGATAATGAGAATGGAGTAAAGCCCATGGGAGAAAAGCCCACAGGACCTTCATTTGCTGATGGGGCACAGCTCAGAACGAAGAGAAACAGCTGTAAACATCCATTGAAAATCGGAACATGGAATGTACGAAGTATGAATCTGGGGAAATTGGCAGTTGTCAAAAATTAAATGGAACGCATAAACATCAATATCTTAGGCATTAGTGAGCTGAAATGGACTGGTATTGGCCATTTTGAATCTGACAAC